TATATCTTTTTTTTTTTTTTTGATCAAATGAAAAAGCATGAATAAGCACAAATTGATAGCATTTCTTTCTTTTCAATTTCACTCTCTTCCTATATATGCCGAAAATATTTATCTTTTTTAATTGCTAACATTTATATATGCATACATTCTCACACAATTCTGTTTTCCGTTTCTTCTTTCCGTTTTCCGTTTCTTTTTTCCGTTTTCGCATTTTTATTTTCCAAAACAATTGGGTAACTGTTTGTTAATAAAAAAAAAAAAGGAACAAACTACTTTAATGGAATGGTTTATTTAACGATTACTTTTATTAACAAAACAACGATACATTGTAATTGCTAAATTAATCAGTGATAAATTATAATGTGTTATCTTTCCGATATTTCATAAAAGATATGATTGAAGCATACTTTCTTAAATCATTTTATCTTTTCTAAGTAATTAAATATTTGTTTTTAGACATAAATTGTATAAATATGCAAATTGATAAAATTCAACTATCATAGAAAGTAAAATATTTTTGCATATTAGCAAAACTAAGTAATAAATATTGGAAATTTTTTAATAATTTTCAAAAAATTCAAAAAAAAAAACTTTCTTTTCTTCCCGCATTTTTCTGTCCCATTACGTCTTTTACTCTTCCATTGAAGTAATTATATTCAAAAAATTACAAAATAAAAACCATCCATATATATATATATTTTCTTTTTCTTCATATTGATGATCAAACTTTTGTTTTCTATGTATGATAAAAATAGAAAAGTGTATAATCGATAAGAATAATTGTTGTAACAACAAACATATCAACAATGAGTCATTTGTAAAATAACGCTAAGGTAAGTAATCATTGTACATTTATAGGTGTAAGGGAGAATATATATATAATAAAATATTATGATATAACTTTTTATAGCAAATATTTTATCATACAAATATAACAACTGGTTTTTCCTGTAAGAAATAAAAATTTTTTCAATCGACATAAATAAAAGTTTTTTTTTACTTTTATTTGATTGATCTTTGATCTTAAAATTAGAAATGGAACAAAAATGGTGACTTTTTTTTTGATAAATTTTTCACATTTAAGAGTTACATTATTCACAAACATAAAAGCATTTCGTTTTCTCATTCATTCATTCTTTCTCTCTTTCTTTTTTCTTTTTTTTGTCTCATTGATTTCCGTTGGGATTTTAATTGATAAATTAGTATTACACATTTTCTCTAGCCCATTATCTTTTTGATACTTTCCTTTTTCTTTCTTTCTCTATCTTTCTCTTCCATTTTTACATTCTTAAAATTAAATTGAATCCGATTAACTTGTAATTTTTGCTGTTTCTCATCATTTATTCTTTCCTATATGATCCCTTTGTAAAATTTTTTTTGTCACCTAAAATTCATCCTCACATGATCAATTATTATTAGCTTAGTTTGAAGTGGAGTGGGAGAGGGGGGGGGAGAGAGGGAGGAAAAACAACGACAAATTCAATATTTGATGATATAATAAATAATTTCAGGCTAATTACTTGATAACTATTTGATAAATATTTGAATAAATATCTGTTTATATTAAGAAAATATATCCTGAAATTAATTGGTACCATTCAATGTGAGGGATATATTAGCAAATTTCTTTTTTAAACCTTTTTATAATTATCGAATTTTCAATATTAAACGTTTTATTGGGCAATTATTATCCTCATTCTCTCTTCCGTACACCTGTCCATCTACAAACACCACATTCATCCATTAACCATAAATTAATTGATGTATCCATTGATACTATCCATCTATTATTCTATTCACAATTCTATCTAACCTTTTTATTAGCAAATAAACCGCACTTACAATCTTTCCTATTTTTACACATAACCTCTCTTTAATTTTACTCTCATTTATTAGCATCATGAAAAAGGTAATTCTCTTTATTAGCATCATGAAAAAGGTAATTCTCTAATTAATTTGCTTATGCTTTTTAGCTTTTTTGTTTATTTATTTGCACTTTTTAATGGAAAACTTTTCCTGAAATTTGTAGCATTTTAAGTATTTTTTCCAGTATCATTCAGGATTGTTCCATTTTGCTTATCTCGAAACTACCGAAACAATTTTCAAGATTTGCATACTGCCATTATAAATATTGATTTAGTGGATTAAACTATTGGAAAATTAAATTATTTTAATAAATTTAATCCTTAATGTAATAAGAATTTAATACTCGTTTACTCTTTACAATTTTTCAATTATTAAAAATTATTGAAAAGTACTGTTTGTACAATTTATATTTGCTAAAATTTGTTTACATTTATGAGATATTTAATAGCAATAAGATTAATAAGCAGTTATGTCGAATTTAATTCCATTTAACATTTTTGAAATTTCAAATAACTAAACCTTTCCCTCTTCTCATAACTCTTCTCTTTACCCTATCCTCTGGATACCATTGTTACATTTATAGCTGTGTGAAGTAAAATTTATCTCTTCTCTAACGATTCGCTGATACCATTGTCACATTTATAGCTATGTGAGGTAAAACTCATTCATCTTCTGTCCATCCATTTTTCTAAATTTTACTCAATTGTAGTTAAAGAGATATTGTCATCTAGCTGTGACATAATGAGAATTGAAAGATTCTATTCAAAGATGGGTCTTTTTTTTTATTCCTTTTTTTTCCATTTGTCAACTTTTAAAGATTATTTTATTTACCCGCCATTTTTTCCTTTTCTTTTCCTCCTCTCTATTTAAGTCTTTTATTTTAAAAAAAGAGAATATAACTAAGTAAACAATACGATAATAAAAGTAAATATACTGAAGAGATGCTGCTATCATTTATTGTTTGTGATATTACCGTATATGAACTTTTTGACCTTATCGTTGAATAACGTTTCTGTTGCTTTTTACATTTCAAACCTATATACATCTTACCGTAGAATTCCAATCAAATCGATGTTTTTATGACAAAATATAAATTTCCTTTCTTGTACGATACAGATGTTTAGCAGCTGTTGTATTTATTGCAGCTGATATGATCAGTTGTGATAAAGGCTAGTTATGGTTGAAGGAAACAAAAATATATATACAGTACTGGAATGGCTTTAAGTTCTATTTTTATGGACGATAATTGAGTTTATACTTAAATTATCAAGTATGATAATGACCCAAGTATTGATAATATAAGAGATTAAGATGATAAAATTGTAGGACGAATGGTTCAGATGAAGGATTTGTTTTGCATATTCTTTCATTACCGAAGCATCTTATCACTGAACAAAAATATGAATATGTATAAGGATAAGAAATGTAAATGACTATGATAATAATTGCAAGTATTTTACTGTACCTTATCAGATCATATTGTCTTCGAAATTTCATTGCTAATAATATTTGACTATTCGATAATAATTGATTGATAATAATCATGCTTAGTTAATCATAACATTGTGATAGTGACAATGCAATAAACGATGGATGATAATATTAATGATAAAATACATAATCGATATTGATAATAGTAGTAGTAGTAGTAGTAGTAATGTTAATAGTAATGATAATAGTAATAATAACAATAATAATAATAGCAATAATAATAATAATAATAATAATAATAATAATAATAATAATAATAATAATAATAATAATAATAATAATAATAATAGATAATAATAATAATAATTATAATAATAATAATAATAATAATAATAATAACAATAATAATAATAATAATAATAATAATAATAATAATAATAATAAC